GAGAGAGAGAGAGAGAGAGAGAGAGAGAGAGAGAGAGAGACAGTGTGTGAGTGTGTGTGTGTGTGTGTGTGTAGAGGACGGTTGAAATTTCTGTGACATAAAGCCAAAAGACATCAGTAAAATGTATATTTCAATATAAATTAATTTTATTTTCTCTTAATTTTCCCTGGCTTTGTCACTAACATAATGGCAGCACTTTGCTTCCTAGCCATTTATCACTTTGGCCTGACATTGTGGAATGACATTTCTACAGGCAGAAACACTGAATACAGAGGGGAGGAATAAGCTCATAGCTCATTCTATTAGCATGTTTCAATCATATTTTTGGAGCAATGGAATGATGACTTCCTTCCTGGAATTTTTCAAGGCTAGCTTTCACAGCTTCTACAGTCAATTAAGGTGACAATTAAATTCAGCTGTGTTAGTGGTATGGGGAGCAACAGATTCAACTTCATTGGGATCAAATTGGAGAACACCAAGGCATTTTACATGAGCCAGAGTATATGGCAAGCAGGTGACAACAACTCTGTGAACTTGAAAACAACTTCCCTGCCAAGGAAAAAAAAAAAAGACTTCTCAGCTGCGGTTTCCAATCTTCTGCCAATTTCAATAGGTAAACACACTCAAAAGGACTACTTTATTTATGGAAATAAAATACTGGGACACTTATGTGCTTCTCAGCCAATAAAGGATATGCACTTAATATCTGCAGTGGTGTGGACTGTGGTGATGGAATATTTAAATGAGCCATAAGCCTGCAGGAGTCCTATCACCTTTGAAGAAATAGCAATCAGATTATTACTACCTGAGAACTCCAATCTACAAATTGCTACAAATTGCCCTGTTTAGGCCTTTGAGGAGCTCTGAAAAATTGCTTCCTATTATCCAGAATAAGGAACACTGATTCCTCTGTGTGTATGTTTTGACACCAAAACCGTTTCAACAAAAACAGCAAGCAACTTCCCGATTTCAAACCATTCTCTTCCATGTCGGATAGTGATAAATATACTGTCTCCTTCTGATAGCTTACAGTTCTCTCTCAGTAAATAACATGCTGAACTTGACTTTTTCTTTGGACAATATTCTCTCAAAATAAGCACGTTTTTCTCATCATAAACTGTGTGCAAGGATCATTCTTAATGACAAGCATAACAACACAATGTGAGATGCTATTTCTTAGCATTTCTTCATATACATGACCCCACTGACACAATATGTAGGAGAGTGGCAAGCCCAATTATCATTAACATGGCTTCTAATTATTTACAAAGAAGAATTTCTGCAAATTATTTTTTTTTTACCAGTAGATCCTTATAAGCTAGTGAACTATGTTAACAATGCCATTTATATTTTCACAAAGTACAAACCAAGTAAAGAAGAGGGCAAATTTCTTGTTTTTGTTACAATCAGCATGAGTGGTAGGGTTAGGACTGGAACTGACAACCCTTATCTCTCGCAAGGATATAAATTCAATTTGATTATTTTTCAAACCCTACATTTGGGGGAGCAGTTATTTCCACTTCCCATATAATCAATAGGTATTTACTGACTACCTACTATGGGGTAGGTGCTGTAAGTGAGACAGAAGAGGAAGAGAAGGAATTTATAATCTAGCAGGGGAGACAAGATAAATACATATGAATCAAAAGGAAATAATACAAGCCAGTATATAATTAAATGTAACAGTGTGTGGTAGGATCAGAATAAGTATTGTCAGAATTCAGAAAAAGTGGAATTCACTCATGGGTGTCCCTCAAGGATCTGTGCTGGCCCCTCTTCTCTCTCTATGTGTTCTATCTTGGTGGTCTCCTCAGATACCACGGGTTCAACTATTATTATACTAAGCAGATAATTCCCATATCTATACAGTGTGTGCCAAAAGTCTTAGCGCAGTTCAAGCCCTAATTTCTCCCCTGAGCTCCAGCCCTCCATCACCAAATGCCTACTGGACACCAACACAGAAATGTCCCAGATGCCTTTCAAGTTCAATGGGTTCAAAATTAAACTCATTCCTCCCCACCCCAAATGTGCTCATTTTCCAAAATTTTCTATATCTGTTAATGGTGATATTGTGAATAACCCCTTAAAATTGGTATCCCAGTCTCTACTTGCTTCCCTATCTAATCCATCCCTCACATAACTGCCAAATTTATATTCCTAAAAGAGATCTGATTATGTTAATCCTCTATTCAAAAAAGTCAGTAACTCCCAACCACCTCTAGGATATAACACAAAATCTTCAATCTGTCTCCCCTCACAAAGCCACTGTCTTGGTATATAAAATCAGGAGTGGGGAACCTGTGGCCTCAAGGCCACAAGTGGCCCTCAAGGTCCTCAAGTGTGGCCCTTTGACTGAGCCCAAGTTTTATAGAATAAATCCTTTTATTAAGGGGATTTGTTCTGTGAAGTTTGGATTCAATCAAAGGGCCACACGTAGCCTCGAGGCTGCAGGTTTCCCACTCCTGGATCCTCTTGCCTAGACTTGCAGTTGCCTCCAAATTGATCTCCCAGTTTCCGGCCTTTCTCCTCTCCAGCCTACATACAGGATCTCCTCTCCTCCATACAGTTGCCAAATCCATCTTCCTAGACACAGGTTCGTTCACGAAACATCTTCATTGATTCCCTATGTCTCTGCTAGCTCCTTAGATAAAAGTCTTCCCAGGCCAATCTTGGCCTCTCCAGAGGGATTTCACATTACCACTCCCCACACTCTACACTCCATCAAATGAATTTGCTAGTTATTTCCTTTAACGCACATTCTGTCTCCTGTCTTTGTCCCGAGCATCTGAAATGCCTTCCCTACTCATCTGCTCTGACATCACTTCCCACAGAAAGCCCCCTCAAATTATTTGTCTGTAAATATTATTTATTTATTGTACCCTCTGGTAGAAGGCCGCTCTTTAAGGACAAGGCCTGTTTTATATTTCTTCTTTTGTATTTCCAGAATCTAGCACAGTCCGCTGCTCCTAGCAGCTACTTAAAAATTGCTTGTTTCACTGAATGGAGGTGCTTAAAGTGGGCTTCACAGATGAGGGCAGATTTCAGTTAAGCAGACAAGGATGAGTATTGATTGGAGTAATTGGAGGGAAGGTCAATCCAGGGGAGGGGAATAATTTGAATGAAGGCAAAGAGGTAGGTTTGAAAGTGGGGAACTTGGGGTAGTGAGAAGACCATGCTGACTAGTGTGGCACATAAAATCACAGCCCTCATTTCCTTAAAAAAGAGAAACTTTTTTGTAATCAGTTATGGAAGTATAGTTACTCTTAGGCTGGGAACAATAGATGAAATGGAGCTTCCCCAATACATATGATCAACCATATCAGTGTGCCTTTGCATAATATATTTATTATGTATATTATATGTATGTGTTTGTGTATACATTTGTATTATATGTATGCATTTGTGTATACATATGTATATAATATGTATTTAAATAATCTTTTTGGTGTTATAGGCCCCCTAGGACAGAGTGTCAACCTAGATATCCTATCTCAGAATTACATTAAGTGCCCAAAATAATCCATATAAGTTTTAAAAGTACAGGTATTGAAGAATTTAAAGAAAAAATAACAAGTTCATGGAACTCAGGTGAAGAATACCTAAAATCCAATCCCTTCATATTGCAATTTTACAGATAAAGAGGAACCAGACAGGAGAGGTGATGTAACTTGCCCCATGTCACAAAGTTAGCTGCTGGCAAAGCTTGGAGGACAACCCAGGTCTACTAATTCTTTTCCCAAGGTTCTTTGTACTACACCACAGAAAGCTTAATAGAAAGGAAACTGCTTAAGAAATTTTTTTTTTAAGGCAATTGGGGTTAAGTGACTTGCCCAGGGATACAAAGCTAGTAGGTGTCAAGTTTTTGGTGTGAGGCCGAATTTGAACTCAGGTCCTCCTGACTTCAGGACCAGTAAACTATCCATTGTGCCACCTAGCTGCCCCTTGCTTAATAAAATTTAGACTAAGTTACACCCAGTGGGCTTAGTTAATATATAAAGTAGTGGGGCATAGTAGATACTGACTGCTCTGGAGTTAGATTCTGGTATACACTTAGTTTTGTGACTGCAGGCAACTTACTTAACTCCACTCACCCTTGGTCTCTTCATATGTAAAATGAGTATGATGATACCTCTAAGTATCTACTTCACCTGTAATCAGGAAGATCAGAGGAAAGTCTGCGTTCACTTTGCAGACTTAAAGTACTATATAAACATCAGTCATTTAGCTGTGCAACCCTAGGCAAGTGACTTAACCTCCTTGAGCCTCAGTTTCTTTATCTGCAAAATGAAGGGAGGGAAATTGTTGGACTCAATGACCTCTAAGGTTCCTTACTACTCTAAATCTTTGATCAATTGAGAATTACTATTTTAAACCATGAAATCATCAAATAAAAAACTACTCCTGCAATAAAGCAAGATCCCCCAATAGAGAACGAAGGCAAAGGAATAAGGCTTACCTTGTCTCTTGGGCACAACGGATCTTACAGCCTTCCTTGGGTATCACCAGGCCCAGATGCATCCTCAGCCTACAGTTTGTAGGTCCTGTGTGAGGCCAGACATGAGTGCCTGGGTGCATGACAGAATATTTGATCTGAAGAAAAAAAGAAAAAAAAAAGATACACTCTTTTTATCACAGCTCCTTTATTCAAAGATTTGTCAGGTGGCTGAAGAACTGCCAATCTCAAGTGACAGACCTAGACTTTTGTCATTTTGGATTAGAATTTGGGAAGACCTGGGTTTTCTGTCTGCATTTTATTTCTGGGGTAATTAAAACTTATCACTCACATTTTCTAAAAAGTCAGAGAAATATAATGTTTTCCAGGCTCATCTTTTTATGTCAACTATGTGAAATTCTGGCCCATTAAAACGAGTATTAAAAAAAAGCAGCTTTCAATGAAGCAAAAAAATTCAACCATTCCTTTGAAAACATTACAGATCATTTATTTGCTACCTCCAGTCTAGAGCAATACTGAAAAAAGTCAGAAATACCTGCCCTCTTCTGCACCCTGTCGTTTCTGGAAATTTTTCCAGTAAAGCACAGGTTTTCGGAGCTCCTCTGCAAGCATTTTCATTTTTTCTTCCTAGACAGATAAATTATAAATGCATTGTAAGAGACAAACTGCAAAAAATTTGTAATGCATGTGGTGAAGATCTATATTCTCATCCTTGCTTAATCAATGAGAAAACTGAAGCCTGTGATGGAACAATCTCCTTCCCAAACAGAAGACAAATGGAGAGAATGAGCACTATGGACAGAATGGCTATCAGTAGATAGATGGAATAAATGATAGAATGCAATATTTCAGTGTATGGACTATATACATATACCTAGGCTGTTTTATTGATGATGCATATGTTAAATGCTTTAAAAAAAGTAGAGAAAAATAGCTTATGCTATATGACTAACTTAAAAGTGCATCTTTCTAAGACTGGGTTAAAGTGATGATTAAAAAAAGGTTGGAAATAATGATGCATGAGGAAAAGTCAAACAGGTTGTGTTTGATTTCACAGAGAAATCAGTTACTGTCCTCCTACCCATTCCTAGAGTCAATAAACATTTATTAATTTCCTAGTATATGCCAGGTATGTTTGAAGTGCTGGGGATACAAAGAAAGGTTAAAAAAAACAAGATCCATGCCCTCAAAAAGCTCATTATATAATGGGAAAGAAAACATATAAACAATTATGTACAAGATATATACCAGATAAATGGAAGATTAACTTGAAAGGAAAACAATAACATTAAGGGATATTGGGAAAAATTTCTTACAGAACGTAGGATTTTAGCTGAGCCTTGAAGGAAGGTGGGGAAGTAAGAGAAAAAGACGAGGAGGTAGAGCAATGAGGAACAGCATGAGGGGTGGCCAATGAAGTGCCCAGAGTCAGGGGATGATGTGTCTTGTGTAGAGAAGGGAAACTGGGCTAAAAATGGGTATTTTTAAGAAAAAAAAAAACTTGTTTTAATTTAATTTTATTTCTTTACAGAACTCAGCACAGAATAGACTTTAGACCTCTGTAAAATAGGAGAGTATCACTTAAATCAATTCCAAAACAGGGAATAGGCTCTGATTCTTATAATCTAGCCACCGCTCAGATTTTTACAAACTAGCCAATAGCTCACAGATGCTCAGATTCCTTAAGAGTCTGGCTAATATGTTGGATTTTTAATAAACTTTGTCTTCAGCTGAAAAAAAAAATGAAAAGATCCAAAACAGGGAATAGAGACCAGAGAGAACCCAAACTGCCAAGTTTTTGCACACAGATGAATGGTGCATTTAAGAATAGTATTCTGAGAAGAGGTCCAATGGCTTCACCAGAGTGGCAAAAGCAGTCCATGAAACAAAAAAGGAAGGAAACAGGTATTAATTGTTTATTATGTGTCAGGTATTGTTCTAAGGTTAAGGATTCCTGTTCTAGAGGCGATTAAAAAGCCACTGATGCTTGTCAAGAGTATGTAGGGGGAGTGAGGGTGTTACATCATAGCTGCACTTCAGAAATACCACTTTGGCAGAAGTATGGAGGATGGCTTAGAAATGAGAGAGAGCAGAGTGAAAGAGAGACCATTGGGAGGTAAATGAAATAGTATGGGACAGAGCAGATATGGGAGCTCGAATGATGGCAGTGGTTATGGACAGAAGAAGGGTAGATGTCAGAGATGTTGTGGGGGAAGCACCGAAAAAGACTTAGCAAATCACTGGATATGAAGGGTGAAAGAGAATGAGGAGTCAAGGACAGACTAGACTACAAGGTTATGAATCTGAGTGACTGGAAGGATGGTGTAACTGATAGAAAGAGAAATCTTAGGAAGAGGCAGGTATTTACTAACAGACAACCAGGTAGGGAATTATACAAGATAAACACACATGCAAGTAGAGATGCATGAAGTATAAACATGCTTCCCAAAGCAGAAAGATGCGAGATATTGAGTCACCTACTCTACACTGGAAATGACAAAACCCAGACAAGCACACATACTAAATTCCAGTTGTATAAGGAAATAGAATCAAAACTAGGAACATATGAGAGTATACTGAAGTAAGAGTTTTACAGGTAAATGTGCTCTGATTTGTCAAAGAAGAAGGAAGAACTCATTTCAGTAGAGAATGTGACACATAAGAAGATTCAGACACAGAAAAGATCAGCAGAAGTAATGTCTAATTGGGATTAATGGCAAGAAGATCTTAGTTGTACTGAACTGTGTGATCCTCAGTTTAGCAGGTAATAAAGTTGATAGGTAACTGAATGACCAGTTTTGCAGATGTTATAGCTATAATACAAGCAAAGAGTAACTTTCCGGAACAGAGATTAATTTTAACTGTTATTTTTATTTACAAAAATTTACAAATTGCAAAATTTCAGATTTAGAAGGGACCTCTCTGGTCCAACTCCCAAAGAATGACCTCTATGACATATCTAACCCAAAGGATCTTTGCTTGAAGACTTCCAGTGGGGGTAGGACACAGGGAGGAACTCAATACTTTCTACTTTTGGATAGTTCTAATTATTAGGAAATGTCTCTTGATATCAAACATAATTGACTTCTTTGCAACTTCTACCCATTGCTCATATAGTTCTGTCCTCTGGGACCAAAAAGAACAAATCTAATCTCTAATCCAGTCAGTTAGCCAATAGCCAACATGCAATTATTAAGTGCTTACTATGTGTAAGGCACACGTGTCTTCCTTATGACATTTCTTCAATACTTTAATGTCCCTCTCCCCAACCCAAGTCTCTTCTTCTCCACACTAAACATTCTTCAGCTCCTTATCATGTTCCTCATATGGCATGAACTTGAGACTCTTCACCATCCTGACCACTGTCAACTGGACATCACACTCTTTCTGAGTTATGCTTCTCTTAATTTTATTTTCCTGAATGGAAATTCCAATGATATGGTCAGCTTAAATATAGTCAAATAGTTAACACTTGCATAATCATTCAAGGCTATTTCCATCTGCTTTCTAAACAGCAAAATGCTCGAGATTTACTACATAACATAAACACATGGGACAACCAACCATCTCTGACTGCTCAACACAGGACCCAAGCTTCACTTAACAGCTTGCCTGAACAGCACCACAACTCTGAAAAGTGTCCTTCTGCTAAATCACCTTCAGGCTCTACCATATGGACAGACTTTGGAATGCATGGGAAGCCAGTGCTTAAAGAAAGTTCATGATGGTTTAAACAGGAATCCTTGTGCAAGATGACACTTATTGTTCAAGTCATTTTGTATGCTCCATTAACAACAGAAAATTTTACTGAAGCCAAGGAGAGGTTCATGCCAAGGGGGTTGCTTCGAAAAATTTCATGTAGATGAGCTCTCTCCTGAAATTTCAAGTTTCATCTGATTGAGACTACTTCTAACACATATCCCTCCCGGCCATCATTCTGTTCCTGGGGTACAATTAGCCTGGAGCATAACTCACTGTATTTGAATGAAATTAAATCCAACTTGCGGTGTTGTAGTTGGTTGCAGAGAACTTGACAGAGAAAAGGACAAAATTCAGTTCATAAAAAAGTACTTTATTCTTTCTCTCCCTTTCCCTCTACCTCCTCAAGAGATCAAAAGATGTCTCGGAGGATTCTGGGAAGATGGCAGAGTAGGTCAGAAAATTCCAAGCTTTCAAGATTTTCCCCCACAAAAGAGATAAAATAGCACCTTAGGCCAATCATAGAGTAGATAAAAATAAATAAGAGTAGGAGCACAACAGGGATCCTCCTGAAACAATAAGAAAGGGCCTGAAGAAAAATCCCAGGAAGAGGTTTGGTCCTTGGAAGTTAAACACCTTCAGCCTAATCCTAGATCCCCTTAAACAATAAGTGGCAAACTCTGGGGTTAGCTGGGTTGGAAGGCTACCTCAGCCCCAGTCACAGGAACTTTTATCCCTGGCATAGTGAAGGGAGTTGGGCATCTGAGCCAGGGAAGATCAAGGGAATCTCTGCTGACAAGGAACACCAGACCCAGCTGTGCTGCAGAGATGTGGCTGGGTGTGAGAAGGAACCAGCACACAGCCGGTAAGTGCAGAAGCTTTACCACGGGGATGCCGCTGGAGGTCTTGGTTCCAGTTCCAGGCCAGGGAGGAGAATTGAAGATCTGAGGCCAGAGGCACCAACCCTCATACCCCAGGACTACAGGTGATTACAAAAATCAAGCTACTACTACAAAAAAAATGCACAGGCAAAGGAGAAAGAATGCAACCATAGAGAGTTACTATGGGAGTAGAGAAGACCAGGTTTCACCTTCAGAGGAGGACATTGAAGCAAAGAAACCTTCTTCTACCCCAAAGAGTAATGCCAAATGATCAACTACCCAAAAAAAAATTCATAAAAGAACTTAAACAAGATTTTAGAAATCAAATGCAAGAGATTGAGGAAGAACTAAAAAAAAGATAAAATAAAATATGAACAATACAAGAAAAACAAGAAGATTGTGAAAAGAAAGTCAACCAATTAGAAAAGGAGATCCTGAATCTTAAGGAAGAAAACAACTCCTTGAAAATTAAAATTCGGCAAGGGGAAGCCAGCGAAGTTATAAGAGATTAAGAAATAATAAAACAAAATATAAAGAATGAAAAAATAGAAGAGAAAGTGAAACATTTTATGAGAAAAACAACTAATCTGGAGAACAGATCAAGAAGAGAAAACAAGAATAATTGGACTACCTGAAAGCTATGATCAAAAAAAGAATCTTGATATAATAATACAAGAAATAATTAAAGAAAATTGTCCTGAAGCATCAGAACAAGAGGGGAAAATGAATTAGAAAAAATCCATTGATCACCACCTATGAGAAAAAGCCACAGGAATATTATAATCAAATTTCAAAACCCCCAGCTCAAGGATAAAATATTATGAACAAGGAAAAAAAATAAATATGGTGGTGCCACAATTAGAATCACACAAGGCCTAGCAGCAGTGACCCTAAAAGACTGCAGCTGCAACACTATATCTTGAAGAGCAAAAGAACTGGGGTTCCAGACAAAAGTATCGTGCCCAGCAAAGCTAAGTACAATCATAAATGGAAAAACAAATGGATTTTTAATGAACTGCCAGACCTTCAGGACTGGTTAAATACAAA